GATGTAGGGAAACTACAGGGAATAGTACTTGTACCCCCTTTGGTTCTGAAAGGACAAGGGAAATGAGTCATTAATGAGCCCCTGGGAGAGTGGTTGTGAAGAGGGCCACCTGACAGAAGCTGGGGACTTTGGGAGAAGATGCAACTGACCCACAGTGACTTGGCAGAGAGGGAGCCCTGGGCTTAGATAGACTGACCTCTCTCCTCCATCTCCCTGATTTCTTACAAGTGCCAGCCATTGGTGAAATGTGCCTGGAAGCCAGAAGGCTAAAGAACCTGTTGATGCAGTCCATATAAATGGACTTCCTGGCAATACAGGGCAGAGTAGAGATGGATCTGGAGGAACAAACAGAAAAATCCAGCTTACCCCCAAACTCACCAAACAATTGAGCCCCAAGTCATATAAATTAAAACAGACAGGCAGGATCTATTATAAATGGTGTTTATGCTCTAGCCACATGACAATGCCATTTTAGCTGGTAAACAGCACCTAAACTATCTCACCTTGGTCAGAATTGCTCTTGAATTGTGTGGATTTTGAATATGGAGATACTTTTAGAAGACATTATATTCAACCATTATTTTCAACCTCCCCAATTCTTCCACAAAATATCACTTTGGTTGGAGTCTCCTGCAGCAGATTTTAAGCTGCAAATTAATAACCAGGCTACAGAAATAATTTTGGCTTATCTCTCTTTATGTAGTTTCTGTGCTCTTGAAATGCCACAAAATTAAGATTTTCTAAATATAGTTCTATTTTTATTTTGAGGATGGAATATTTGCAGATCTATGCAGCCTTCTTTTGCCCTCGAATTCACTGGTGCTCCAGAAAATTAACTTGAACAGAATTAACAGCTGTGTTTTCACCGTTACGATGGTTGCAGAAACTCTGGTGGCCAGATTACAAGCTCCTTGAGAGCAGGGGCTCTGTCTCATTCAGCAGTGTACCCATCAGCTTCCAGCATAATGCCAGGCTCTTAGAAGACTCAGTCAATATTTCCTGAATGAACAAAGCTTTTAAAATTATGCACAGATCTAAAACTGAATCATACCAAGTTCTAATCATATTCCCTAATTACGTTTTATTAAAAGATTTCAGAGTCACAAGGCATATGACATTGGGAAGATTGACTGGTTTCTCCCCTCCACTAGAATGCTGAGAACCTACAAACTAAGGATTAGTATTTGAGACTAGTGTTATGGTTTGATCATTTTGAGGGTTCTTTAAAGTACAATCACCACCAATTGGAAACTGTTTCTAACCAAGACCCAAAGAAAGCCATTTATTCTTTTAGATTCCCTGCACAAGTAGAAAACCTGGAATCTCAGTGTAAAAGTTGCCATGGTGGTAGGTCCATTTTGTTGAGTCATCTGCTTTTATTTAAACAATGATAAGCTTACATTTTACCACCATCAAAGTTCAGTCCCAAGTCAGTTGGAGCCTCTCTTACGAGCCAGCCTGTATTACCTGTCACGAAATGCAGACTCAGTGAAAGGGGGCTGGAAGAAATGCCCTGTGCTGCTGTGTTTTGCTTGGAAAGCCTGCATTCTGGCTTCTCTTAATGACGGCTTAATTTGGAATATTTTTATGCCAGGAGATTAAATCAGGCCATCCATTAAGAAGGTAATCCATACACTTGAATTCCATTGAGAGGAAGAAAAAAGGATATTTTTTTCTCTCTTCTTTTTGTCCTAATTTCCTCTTTACTTAGACTTCTGTCCTCTGTGTGGTGATGTCACTGTAGCTTTCAGTTGCTTGCTGGGGGCATGGGTATGAGCAGTTCCCTCTGCAGCCATTCCTGATTCATCTAGGTGAATCATCTGCTTGGGTCTCTGGCTGGGAGGAAGTGGTGTCACTGCACATCCCCCTCCTCCCAGGCCTCCTCTTTAATGCTCTGTATATTCACAACAGGCATGTTAAGTGGAGGCTGCCCAGGAACCTGGGAACTCATTAAGCCTCCCAAGTGCTGGGTGATCCTGGGCAGGGAGGCCTAGGGTTCTCATCCACGCAGGGCTGAACTCCTTCACCCTGCTCACCGTGAAGCCATTTATAGATTCAAATAGCTAGGGGGGAACCATCCCTTCTAGCTACATCCCAAGCAATCAGACGTCCAGGATTCCAGCTGCTTGGTCCTGCTCAGCCTCTCTGCATTGAGGTCAATTATTATAAACTATCATTTTTATAGGAATGCTCTTAATTCAGCTGTTATATAAACCATGGTTCTGTTTCTTAGCAATTTTAATTCAGATCCTTCCGGACAACAGTAATTCCTAGTTTGATCTTTCCCCCCAACCTTTCTTCTCTCTTTTTCTACTACATCCTACTCCCTGCTTACTCCTAACTTAACTGTTTCCAGATGTGTATCCTTTGGCTCTGTTTCCACCCAGCTTCTTCTATAATATGCAGTTGGACCCCGTCCACATCCCAGATGTGTTATTTATTTATGCTGAGGCATCTGGGCCTCAACACAGTCCTGTCACTGCAACGTGGCAAACTTGTGAAAAATCCAACTGGTAGCCAGCTAACAGGCTGCCCCAAACTGGCAAGTAGGAGAGGCCTTTCAAAGGTCCATAAGAGGAGGCCAAGAGAACAGATGTGATGAGACAATGGGAACCCAGGTGAAGCCAGGAGGTCACATTCTCCTATGCTGTGGCTCTTATGGGTACAGATGAGCCCAGTAACTCTGGGAGATGAAGGTTTGGTTGCTTTCAAAGCCAAGTGGTGCTGCTGCAGAATCCAAATAAATAACTCATCCTGCCTGCACAAGTTACCCAGGGAAAGCAAAGGGTTGCCACCTGTCACTTAGTAGGCTGTGGGCACCAACAACGGGAACCCAGGAGCTGAGGGATATATGACTGTAGGGGAGGGAGCACTGGACTGGGAGCCCCAAGTCTTGGTTGTGGCTTCAACTTTCTACCCATTTTTTTCCTGACCTTAGATTAGTCTTTTAATCTGGGCTCCCATTTCCTTTTCCATGAGATAAGCACACTGGATTAAATTGTGGCATTTCACGCTTTTGTTTTTAAACATTCAAAAAAATCTTAAGTGGAAGCCTTTTATGTTTGTGCACTCAATGCTTTTGTGACAGAAATAAAATATAGTAAGTGTTTTTAACTAGCCTTGTTGGTGGCCATTTCAGCTCACACGTCCATCCCAAGGAATTCAAAAGGAGGTAGGGGCATCAGAGGTGTGAGTTTCCTCCATGCAACCTTCTGCACGGAGCTCACCCACAGAGCCCTTCTCGGAGTCACAGAGAACAAACCTCCCCTTTTGACCCTCTCTCTTCCTCGTTTCTCCCCTGGAACCAGCCCTTGAGCTTCCTTCACCACCCTGCCTCCCCATCCCTGCCATCCCCCTGCCCTTTATGATCACCCTCTTCTTCTTTGCTTCCTGCCTGATAGGGTTTGGCTGTGTCCCCACCCAAATCTCATCTTGAATTGTAGCTCCCATAATCCCCATGTGCCATGGGAGGGACCCAGTGGGAGGTAATTGTATTATGGGGGTGGTTTTTCCCCCATGCTGTTCTCATGATAGCGAATAAGTCTCACGAGATCTGATGTTTTTATAAAGGGTAGTTCCCCTGCACATGGTCTCTTGCCTGCCACCATGTAAGATAAGCCTTTGTTCCTCCTTCACTTTCTGCCATGATTGTGAGACCTCCCCAGCCACATGGAACTGTGAGTGCATTAAACCGCTTTTTCTTTATAAATTACCCAGTCTGGGGTGTGTCTTTATTAGCAGTGGGAGGACAGACTAATACACTGCCAGATGGTCATTCAGCTCCATCTTCTATGGGTGGGCCATGCAGAGCCATTAGAACCACAGGTATCTACTTGACAGACAGATCTTCTAGACCCCAAGATGGAGCCACTCTTAGCAGACAGTCTTGTGTTTTTATAACAAAAAGAATACTTCTCTCTGTTAATCTACTTTAAATTTCAGTCCTGAAAGCTCCATTTCTTGTTTTTTTAAAAATAAATTTTATTGTGTATATTTGAGGTTTGCAACATGATGATACGAGATACGTGTAGATAGTAAAATGGTTACAATAGTGAAGCAGATTAATGTCTATCCTCTCACATGTTACTTTTTTGGCAATAAGAGCAGCTAAAATCTACTTGTTTAACAAAAATCCCTAATACAATACAATTTTATTAATTTCAGTCCTCATGTTGTACATCAGATCTGTATACTTGTTCATCCTACGTGTTTGCCATATTGTATCCGTTGACCTACATTACCCCATTTCCTCTCCCCACTCCCACCTATGATAACTACTGTTTCATTTTCTCTGTGTCTTAGAGCTTTTAAAAAAATAGATTCCACAATATGTAAAATCATGCAATATTTATTTTTCTATGTCTGACTAATTTCACTTAGCAAGCATAATATCCTCCAAGTCCATCCATGTTGTGGCAAATGGCAGGGTCTCTTTTTCCAAGACTGAATAATATTTCATTGTGTACATATACCACATTTTCTTTATCCATTTGTTTGCTGATGGACTGAAAGCCCCCTTTCTTATCCTAGCCCTAGCTTCTGTGTATGTCAAGTCCCCAGGGCATAAGGGCGTGTAGTGGTTATGTGTATCTCTCTTGCTATTTCTGAGACACGTTTATAGCACACCAAGGGCTCTTTGAAGCACAGTTTCAGAAACACTGGACAAGATGTAATCATCATTCCCAATCTTTGAGTCCTAAGAACTGTCCTCAGACAAGAGTGTTCTTCATCTGGATTAGAATTCTACAAAGCCTTCAGACTAAAGAGGACCTTAGAATGCCCTTACTCTTTCTCATCTGCTGCTTTGAGGGAGCTCCATAACAAGAGTCCTACCAGCTGGAAGAAAGCCTCCTTGAAGAACACGTCATAACTGCTAGTAGCACACAGCTATCCTCAGGCAGCACAACTTTATCTCTACTGGAGGAGTGTCAGACACTTTGGGTATCTGGATGAAGGAAAATTTCAGGTTCTCAGAATCTCCCTTTATACAGGTGGCCTCTTCTACATAGACCCAGGAGTCCATCTGGCCTGGAGGTGAGTGCTGTGCCACTAAGGAAAGTCCAAAGTCATCTTGACTCTCTGTGATAATAATAGTTTATTGTTTTTCCTCTCATCTCAGTGAGCACAGAGCTAAGAGTCATAGCAGAGTGTATTATCATTTCCAAATATTTGCTGCCCTGCATGGTGACAGAATGATTCATCCCAGCTACATGGATATCAGGCTTGGTCACTGAGTTTGTTTTGGCCAATGAGATGTGAACAGAAATGGGGCACATCACTTCCAAATTAACACCCTAAAAGCCTCCAAGAAGTCCCACTCCATCCCTGTCTTTCCCCACTGCTAACGAAGAGCAGCATCTGAGAAGGACAATCTCCCAGGCAGGGGCTGCCTCTTCAGCCAGAGTCTCAGAATGATCATGATGTGCAGGCTGCAGCAGGCCCCAGATGAACACGTAGTGTCCAATATGGAGCACGAGCAAGAAGAGACCTTTGTTTGTTGTAAGCCTCAATATATTCTGTTTTTTTTTTTCTTATTGTTTAGGAGCCCTAGCTCAATTCAAACAGACCTAGGTTTGAATTTCAGCTGTAAAATCTCAGACAAATGACTTACCTTCTGTAAGCCTCAGTTTTCCCATTCACAACACGGGGATGAGGATGGCACTTACCTCATTGGATTGTTGAGACAATTAAATATGAAAATACAAGTAAGTTGCCTAGCACAGTAGCTGACACTTACAAACACCCAACAAATTCTAGCCATTTCTAATATAAAATAGAGATAGGGCACAGGAATAAAAAGGTTTGGGGGTGTATGAGAGGGAGATGAACAATTATAAAACATGACAATTGATCATTCATTTTCTTCTGACACTTCTCTGTTAGAAATGAAACTCAATAGTTTATGGCCTTGTATTAGGCAGAATAATGACCTCCAAACATCCCCAAATCCGAATCCCCAGAAACCTGTCAATGTGTTACCTTATATAGAGAAAGGAACTTTCCAGATGTGAGTTAAGTTTCTTGTGATGGGGAGATGATACTGGGTTACAAGAGTGGGCCCAATGTTATCATGAGGGTCCTTATTAGTGAAAATGGGAGGCAGGAGGGTCTGAGTGAGAGAAGGAATTGTGATGATGGAAGCAGAAGTAGGAGCGAAGTAAATGCTGGTTGGAAGAGCCAAGAAAGGCGGACAGCCTCTAGAAGAGAGAGGAGCCAAGGGAACGGATTCTCCTCTAGAGCTTCCATCAGGAACAGAGCTGCCGACAACTTGATTTTAGTCCAGTGTGACCATTTTGGACTTCTTACCTCCAGAACTGTAAAATAATAAGTTTATGTTGTTGTAGGCCACAAAATTTGTAGTGATTTGTTAAACCAGCAATAGGAAACAAATTCAGGCCCCAATTCCCTTTTCTCTTATTTCAGCATTGTTGCTTCTTGTCAGCAGGTAGCTGCGTTTTTCTGAGTTCAAAAATTATAAAAACCTGGATTAGATTTCTTTAGATCCTCATGCATACTGACTCATAAATTAGCACCCTGCCTGTGGCCACTCTTTCCTGCCAACCCCCTCCTCCATCCCACATGGTCCCACCTATCCCATTCAGCAAATATCATCTCAAAAAATCAACAAATTTTCTATCTTAATTTTAAAATGACATTTTACTTTGTTAATTGTGTGTAATTTTGGGGGTGGTTTGTCATGCATAATATTTTCCAGTTACTATTGAATAGTAAAATCAAGGCCAGAAGGCCAGACTGAATTATGCTTGCAGGATTTTTTTTTTTTTAAGTTTTAATTTTTTAAAATTTCCAACTTCTATTTTAAGTTCAGGGGTACATGTGCCAGATGTGCAGGTTTGTTACATAGGTAATCTTTGTGTGCCATAGTGGTTTGCTGCACAGATCAACACGTTACCTAGGTATTGAGCCCTGAATCCATTAGCTATTCTCCACCTGCAGGATTCTTAACATGACTTTTTCCAGAATTCTCTTCTCATAAGTGAATCCTTTCATCATCAAGAGAATATCATATAAACTCTCTTGATGATGAATGAGTTTATTTACTATAGAAATATGCAAGGCCTATGGTAATAATTTTTTTTTTGCAACATTCTTGGTTGCTGAAATCTCTTTTGATTATAAACTGGGAGAAGTGATTGTTGTCATTGGCTATGTTTTACTTTTTAATTGTTATGAGTGATGGAAGGCAAGACACAGGAGGAATATTTGCTATCTCCTTCCCAGAGGCACTTCTGTTATTTTTCAGTTCTCCTCTGTGTGGCGGGTAGGGTGCCCAGGTATTTCGGAGTCGCTCTCATGTTTATAAATCTTCTGCAGCAGCCTGCTTGGTGTTCAGTGTCATTTCTAGGATGATCCCTGCTACAGTGGGGTCCCTCCACTACAGCCGAGTCCCTCTACTACTCTTGCAATGGAACACCGGGGCTTGGAGTTAAGAGAACATGTCACAGAGGGAAGCATAAATCCCCTGGCCTCTTGAAATACAAGTCCTATGTTTAGCTACAGAACGGTAAATATTCTTTGGTTCTGAATAAAATGACCATTCCCTGTTCAAACTGTGACTTGTTTTGCATATTCTTTCCTATTGAAATAGCATGTGGCATGGGAGGAGTACCCTCTGTAAGTCTAGGTTCCAGAAATAGATCTTTAATCTTTCCTTACACCTCGCCTTGTGTTTCTAGGTCTTTTTGTTCCCCCCAGTCATTTCAGAGCTCATAGCTGTGTGGCTCCCCCGGTCTCAGAGCTCTTCGTCTCTCTGAGATTTGGTCCTAGAGAAGGGAGTCTAGTTACTTTTCACAATCAGCCTCTTTCTCTTAGAGTGTCTGCAAAATGTTGGTACACACAGTGTTCTCAGTATTCTATTAGGTTTTTACTATGATATTTCTATCCAGATTCTGTTGTGGGAGCTCTTACAAACTTACTGACACATAATTCCCTTTTATATCGTATTTTGTCTAAATATGGTTGTACCAATTTTTAGCTAGATAGCGTATGAATTAGTACTGATTCATGTCCAAGACCAGCTGGAGCTTGCCTTTTTCCGAGGAAGATAAAGTGTTAGGTTTTTCTTGTCTTAGTTATGAAAAATGTCAGCTTGAACACCTGTCTGGTGTCCTAATTGTCTTAATCTGTGAAGCGGAAGGGCCATCTGGTTCACCTGATCAGTTATGTAGGTATTGATTAAGATGGGGGAAAAAATCATCCAAAGAGGCAGAGTTAGTCACTCAGTCTGCCGTTCCCATCAGGAGTGTGTTAGTTGCTCAGTAAAGATCTGCAGATCCCACTGCTGAGGGCCGCAAGCAGCAAGAATGTGTCTGAGTTGGTCTTGAAAAGCCTTTGTATTGTACGGAGAAGAACATGTTTGGGGAGTCTAAACTACATATTTAAGAAAACAGGCCAGGTGTGGTGGCTCACGCCTGTAATCCCAGCACTTTGGGAGGCCAAGGCAGGCGGACTACCTGAGGTCAGGTGTTTAAGACCAGCCTGGCCAACATGGTGAAACCCTCTCTCTACAAAAAAATACAAAAAATTAGCTGGGCATGTTGGTGGGCGCATGTAATTCCAGTTACTCAGGAGGCTGAGACACAAAGATCGCTTGAACTTGGGAAGCAGAGGTCGCAGTGAGCCAAGATCGCGCCATCACACTCCAGCCTGGGCGACAGCAAGACTCCATCTCACAAAAAAAAAAAAAAGCAAGCAAGAAAAAGAAAACAGAGGTAGCATAATCACGGGTAAGCATGGGCTCATTTCTGCAATCTCTGCAGTTTGGGAGGATGAGGCAGGAGGATTGCTTGAACCTGGGAGTTAGAGACCAGCCTGGGCAACAAAGCAAGACTCTGTCTCTATAAAAGTAAAAAATAAGGCCAGACACGGTGGCTCACGCCTGTAATCCCAGCACTCTGAGAGGCCAAGGCAGGTGGATCACTTGAGGTCAGGAGTTCAAGACCAGCCTGGCCAACATAGTGAAACTCTATGTCTACTGAAAACACACACAAAAAAAATTAGCAGGGCGTGGTGGGGGGGCACCTGTAATCCCAGCTACTTGGGAGGCTGAGGCAGGAGAATCGCTTGAACCTGGGAGGCAGAGGTTGCAGTGAACTGACATCATGCCACTGCACTCCAGCCTGGGCAACAGAGCAAAACTTCATCTCAAAAAAAAAAAAAAAAAAAAGGAAAAAATAAAAATAAAAAACCCCACACAATCATCATCTTTGATGTTTAAAATGAAAACGAATAAAAATCTTGCTTGACAAAAATATCCCTTACTTGTAAAAGCTGTCTTTCAGTTGCCATCAATTCCTTCCTTGCTTTAACAACACAAGGCGGAGTCCTACCTTGAATCATATTACCGCTATTTATTTTCAAAAGCTTCTCTGGAGTGACAGGAACAAAAATCTCTGTTCTTTAGGGGAATTCAAATAATTTCCAGACATTTGTTCATGTTTTCACTGAAAAACTTAGTTTTTAAAGAATGTGAGAATGGAACAGGCGTTGCACCGTGGAGCCCACAAGCAGAATTGTTTCATTTGGCTCTCATGGGATTTTAAAAAGTAAGAAATTTCACATAAAAATGCAGAGTTCTTCATGGCAACAATCAGTTGGAGTTGAGTGGCAACTGTCAGCCTAAGATGAGGCATAACCCGCACTCCCTCCCACCCCCCGTGACTTCCCGAGGACTGCACTGGGGGGTCACTTTATTTATTCCACCACCTGCATGACCCTGTACCTGAACCCTGACCTGAACAACCACCTCTGACATTATGGAGAAACCAAGGGGCAGAGTCACTCTGAGAGGAAAAATGTTCTACTCCACTGAGACCTAGCTTAGTCTGAATGTGAGATGGGGAGGACTTGAAGTGGGAAAATATTTGTAAAAGCAACGGACGGCATGGCTCTCAGGAGAACTCTGTACCCATTTGGTGCAGGAAACAGAATGAAATTCAGCACAGTTCATTCCTCATGTGATGTTGTCTACCACAGACAATACCCAGGCTCCAGGCACTTGTCAGGGAGAGTAATGTCAGTCGAAGAAGGCAGTGTTTGCAGAGGCTGACTTTGAGATATATGTCCACTGTCTCCTCTAAATTATACAAACTGTTTCCTTGGATTGAGTCATTTTAGTTTTGGACCTAAACCACCATGGAACTGCTTTTATGAAGTGGCTCTCGGTCCTGCTCACCAGCCTAAGGCAAGTGCCACAGGACGGGCCCACAGTGCTGGATGCAGTGTCAGGATTCTACTGGGACTTTCAATCTTGACATTCCTCTCTGGGTTAAGCATTGTAAATAAATGTGTTTTCCCTGAGAATCTGTCTTTTCCTTTCTTTCTTAATATTACAAACATTATAAATGTTATACCACATCTGATTTCTGTCTTTGCACTGCTGGATAAAAGGTCAGAGTCCAATCTGTGGCCTGCTTTTAGCAAGTATATCAAACACAATAGAATTGAATGCATTTGGCACTTTACTTTGTTTTGTTCTTTTCTGGATTTCCCAGCCCTTAATTTTCCTTTGTCCTTCTTCTTGAATATTCATTTTTAAGTGCTTTTAAAAATGTCTTATTGCTACCAAGTGTTATACAAATACAGAATAAATAACTAAAGTGGGCATTCCAGAAGCCAAGGGGTATCTTCAATTAAATTAGCCCAGGTAAAATAAATTGGAACCATGAAACCCCATATGTATGGACACTAATTGATTACACATATGATTGAACACAATGCTTGCCCATTCATTTTAAATTCAACTTTATTTTATCTTTGTTCATTTCTCTTATGTCCTAGGTACAAACTCCTAGCTCCATGGAAACGATGACTTGTTTGATAAAGTCGGGGGAGGGTCTTCTAATTGGTTTCTCTCACCACCGAAGCTGCTTGGCTGGTGTCTGGGATGTTGCAGGTTATCTAACTCCCCGACCTTACCCCAGGACCCTAACTCCATGCAGGTCCTGGCCATTCTCTGAAGCAGTTTGCCTTCATCACTCTCAAAACCATCCAGGACCTTAGAGTACATGAGGTGGATATGATTCCAGTTTGTGTTTTCCATCTTGCTGTTTCTCAACGACATCTGGCGTATTCAGGTCCTGTCGGGATCTTTACCCCTCAATTAATCTTCCAAGTGAAAAATTTGCAACTTCACTTTTTTCTTTAGTATATTTCTACACTAGTAATTTATGTGTTGTATTTGGAGAAAAAAAGAGGGGTAAGAGTGTATCTGTATGTATGTATAACAGTAAAGATATAAACAAATATGGTATCAGCATTATTGAGTGGCATAAAAAGAGATGGTAGGGAAGAGAAAGACCTTGCATCCCTGCTGTTTTCTGCACTAGAAAACACGTGGTGGTGTTGACTGAGAACAACTTGTTTTTGGTTTGGAAATTGATGAGGTTTGTTTGGTGCAGGAATGGCTTTGGAGTAATTCAGGAAGAAGGCACTGTGCAGCTTACATATAAAGCAAGTTCAGTTTCTGCAACCTGAAGCTTCTGGTCTGGTTGGAGGTAAAAGGCTTGCATATGTAACCCAATTGGAGAAGAATTTAAGTGTATGATAAATTACTAAATTATGTACTAAAAGTAGTAACTGCAATAAATGGAGTGTACCCACAGTTCTAAATTTAACTCATAAGCAATGAAAGAAAGACTTTCTTGGAGAGCACTCAGTTTTGCTTTTGAAGTTACTCTTAACTGTAGTAAAAAATGCTCATATTTCGAGTATCATGGATTTCTTGATTTTTTGCAATCATATTCTATGAAGTCTTCTTTTAATACATTTTGCTATTCTCTAAAATTATTAATATGACTTATTTTCTAGGGAGTTTTAAAGTCACTTGTTTCTTGAGTTTCTTTAGCTTTAGTGTTATATGGCTACATCCATCAGATACTGGGTCTGGTCCAGAAAATACTATTGTAGTGAATATAATTTTTTATAGTTATCACAATTTATAACATCCAGATGAATTTAACCATGGCAATTCAGGTAACTTGGTAACTTACTACTTGAAATTCTAGTTTCTTTGAGGCAAATATATACTCATTTAGGGTGTTCCCCATTTCTTTTCTCCATCTTCTTAGGGGCCAAGGGTTATCCATCTCATAACTGGTGAAAAGGTTTCTGGTGTGCATCTCATCTTCTGTCTTTGCTGACCTCTGCTGAAGCTTAGCTGGTCTTGCCTAATCTTTGGGATCTGCCTCTACTTTTATTGTGTCTGTTGATGTGGCACATCACCATGGTATCTGATGACCAAGACTTTTACTCTGCAACTTCTGTACCTACCTTGCAAGACCCAGTTGAACTCCATCTGCTCTTAGCCAACCTCTGGACCTCTCTTAGCAAGCCTGAGGAACATATGGCTGCCCTTCAACTTCATTCTGGGACTGCAAAAGATTGGGAGTGGGGTGCTTAGAGGATGAGAGAGGCCATTTCAGAACTTTGTTACCCTGTACATACTTTTATACTGCCTTGGCTGCCCTTTGATGGTGTGGAGCCCTCTGAGAAAAGCCCTTTCTTGTCTGAGTTTCAATTGTCAAGCTGGGAACTAATTCTCCCTATTCTCATACCTCTGTCTTGTCCAGAGAAGGTGGTCTTTACTGATGCTCCAAGGGTATTGACCCATGTGGCGGTCACTGTGGTCACTGTGAGAAGCATTTCTCAAGACTCTACACCAACTATTCACTCTCTGAATCTTTTCCAAGTTCCTTGACTCCAGACCCGAAAAGGTTCTTATCTCCTCTTTGTGTAGCAGAGAAATGGCTTGTATATCATCACGTTTTTCCTCTTCTATGGTTAATGTTATAAACTCTATGCTGTTAGTGCTCCAGGACTTACTTATCTTTGGAGAGCTAAATACACACACACACACACACACACACACACACACACACACACACACTCACACACAGTGACAGTAGAGGCAGTGTGTGTGTGTGTGCATGCGCACATTTAGCTCTTCAAATATATATCAAATATATATTTTTCTCTTTCCATGCTATCGTGTCTTACCCTGTCAAGAGCCAATTTTGAAATTCAAAGTGAAGAATCTGACTTGCTGAAATTCTGCTTGCTGGGTTCTTTGTCTTTTTTCCCTTTTCTAGAACAAAAGCCTTAACCTAAGATCTTTTTTAATGGTTAAGATGTTGCAGGATAAAAACGAAATGCTAAGAAGAAAGAATACATCAGGAAATATTTTAAAATATTTTATAGCTACATACAGGATATGAACTGAAATAACTTAGGTGGTCTACCATAAAATTTTGCTCTTTGGCGAGGAACTGGGAAGAAGCTAGGCAAATTTCTCAAGACGTTAAGCTCAAATAGTCTTGAAATTTATCATAAGAGGCAGATTTTTCTCTCCCTCCCTCCTTGACTATGAAAATATTTCTTAGGACACTGCCTTCTTTTCCATGCCCTTTAGTGACCTGGGAGGGTTGGTTGGCAAAATCCCACACAGTAAGCAATACTCACTGCTATCTAATAGACTTAAACTATCTCCTTGGGGAAGAATAGAAAAGTCCTGTGGCTAAAAATGTCAAGTCTGGATCCTAAAGCTCTACAAGAGAAATGATGGGGAATGTTTTTCCCTTCACTGGGGAATAGGCTGGATGACGAATGTCTTTTTCCCAGCTTGTAAATTTCTATGATTCAAAGAAAACAGATATCAAAAGGAATGGAGAAAGCACAATATGCAGAGAACAAAAGTGAAGACTCTTTGTTCTAATACTTTGAATTACATACACACAAACACATATGCATATACATACATATAGACATAATACACATAAACGTTTGAAAAATATTTCACAAATTTCTAATAAATATTTGCTAATAAAGAAATATTACACTAGAAATAATCAACTAAATGCTTATATTACCATGAACTTAAGCCTGCAGATATTGGAAGACGTTCACAACACTCCCGGATCTCTGAGTTCGTGACAGTAAACTTGCATTTCTTTCATAATATTAACAGGATGCTTATGATAAATGCAGTGCAAATAGAGATGCTTCGTTCTCATCATGGGCTGTTGAAACTAAATTTATGTTGAGTATTGCTATGCCAGGTATATTGTATACCCCATAAATAAATGACTCATAACTAATTGATGTATGTATTATGTGTATATGTATATCTACATATGTGTGTGTATATATATTTAATATACATAATTTTTTAACATTAAAAGGTATTTTTACCCACTAGAGAGAGAGTTTTAATCTATTAAGCCATAATTTTACGTCATGTATTATTAATTAAGAGCATGGTGCTGAAGTCAGATCGCTTTGGCAAAAAACATTTATTAGCTGTGTGACCTTGGGCAAGTTACTGAACCATTTTGTGTGGCAGTAACTTCCTCTCCAAGACGAGAACAATAATTGCACCTGCCCTATGGGGTGACTGCAGAGATTAAATGAGTTAAGGCATAGCACTATATAAAGTATGAAATAAATGTAAACTTTCATTATAATTACTGGTATGTGCAAGGCCCCATGCTAGGTGCTCTGAGAGATAAAAGTAAAAAGAGACACGGTCTCCACACTTACATAGTTTACTATCCAATTAGGAACACAAACTACAGTTCCACATAGTTAAATATTAATACCCAAGAAGAAAACACACAGTCCAGTTCAGCAGCACAGACGAAACTTTCAAATACAAAAGCCATGGGGAACTGGTGACTTAGAGCAGAGGGGCATTTTTATAAAAAGTGTCGGTCTCACATTTATTTCCCTTCATCTGATGCTTATCTCTTTGACATGATGAAAAAAGGTTCAAGGCAGATTGTATAATAAACACATTGCAATGGCCCAGCCCTGTGTTAATCCTGCAGTGGTTTAGCCATTGGTGACTGCCACATGACGCAGATGCTGACGCTGGATTAAGACTCTTGACAACAGAGATGGGGTGATCTGTGAGTGTTCTAAGAAGTGGGCCAACCCATCAATGTCAAGTCTACAGAGGGATGGCAAATGCATCAGCTGATTTTTTAATTTTTTTCTGAGATTTATGGAGAGTTTCAGGCTGTGATTATCCAGCTTTAAAAGTAATTTTATAAAATAACTGGTACAAAACAGGGTGTGCCCCACTGCCAAATGAATACTACAGTTAACAAGTGCTCTGTGAGATCAAGGACAAGGCTGCTTATTGTGGTCTGGGGTGATTACAGAAGGCCTTGGGAAGAAATTATTATGAAAAGGCTTTCAATAAGAATTTAAGATAATCCTTAAACTAATTAATCCCTTTTAAGTCAAATATTAATTCTCCCAACTTAATTTTTAAATTTGTCACTCTAAATTTTTACTTACAGACTGTCCCCGAATGGTGCTCTGTACCAAAATATTATTTTTTGGCTAAATTATGAGTTTAGTAGGTTTCCATGAGTTCATCTGAGACTACAGCATCCATAGCATTGCTTCTGTGGGAAAACGGGAGCTATTCTGAACTTCAGACAATCATTGACAAATCCATTTTTGATAAATCTGCTGATTGGTTCTTTCTTTCAACAGGTATTTATTAAGTGCTCTTCATATGTCAGACACTGTTGCAGGCACCGAGGATACATCAGTGAACAAAACAAAAATCTCTTCCCTTATGGAGCTGACATTCTAGAGAGAAGAGAGAGTTAAGAAGCATAATAAATAATTGGTATAGTGTGTTGGAATAAAGAAAAAGTAGAGAAGGGTAAAAGGGATGGGGAGGGTGGCAATTCTAAATAGGATGGTCATTGAGAAGGTGACATTTAAGCAAAGTGTGAAGGCAGCAGGCCAAGGCCACCGACCACATTAGGAAAGAGCATTTAAGGCAGAAGGAAGAGCCCGTGCGAAGGCTCTGAGGCCGGAGTTTACCTAGTGAGTTTAAGAACAGCAAGGCCGCTGTAGCTAGAGGTGGGAGAGAGGAGAGAGAAGATGAGGTCAGAGAGGTAACTCATGTAGTGGCAGGTAGGGGACTTGCCAGATCATACAGCACCTTGCAGGCTATTCTGGAGCTTTTGAGAAAATGAGAGATCACTTGTATTAGGCTGGATTAAAATAGGGCCATCTGTATAAAAATAATTCCTCTTTAAATTGTCTCCTTAAACTTAGGGGTATATACAAACAACCCAGGATCTTGTTAAATTCAAATTCTGACTTAGTAGGTCCGGGGAAAGACCTGAGATTCTGCATCTTTAACAAGCTTTCAGGTTATATCAGGCTGCTGGTCCACAACCACACTTTGAGTAATGAAGTCCCAGGGGCTTTTTGGCTTATCTCTCCACCAGCTGGTTACAAGGGCCTTTTTGTTCCCTTTGAGCCTGAAAAGACCACCTCAAAAGGTTTTTCTTTATATTTTTACATTAGCCATGCGTCCCCTCACTATTCATGGTCCTATTACCTCGCTAGTAAGAGCGTGGTCCAGAGCTGCCTCCGGGACTATGAGGGAGGTTGTCTGGCTGTTTCCATGCACAGTGTAAGAAGTTCCTAGGGCTTCTGCAGTGCCACGTGGAGGCTCTGCTTCTGAACCTCGATCTGCTCCCTGAATAATAATTTCACCTCTGACCACATTCTTGTCTTACTCCAATGACAGGAGCTCTAATACAGGTCTTCACTCCTGATCCTATACCTAGTGATAGGTACCTATACCTCAGTTCTGTAAACTGAGGCAGCTGGGGGACTTGGGTGATGTTCCCAGGCAGAAGAGGTGGTCAGGTGGTCCATGGAAGCCTGTCTGTTAAGGAGCAAGGCTGACTTCTTAAGATCCAGCCCAGTAACTGACAGTGGAACAAATCTGGAAGGACTTGCCATTTCCTAGTATAAAGCATAGGATACAGAGTCCCATGGGCTTGAGTTTGAATTGTGCTTCCATCCCTTACTGTGTAACCTGGGGAATGCGCCTGGGTGTCTCTGAGCTGCAGTTTTCTTACCTGGAAAATGGGAATGATACCAACACCTCCTTTGTAAATTGAGATAATGCATTTAAAGCACCTAGTAAAGTGCCTGGCACAAATGATACAAAATACTAGTTGCTATTATTTTTGTAATTTCTACTACCATCCCACTACCTACCAAATCGCTTTGACGCCCGGCATTAGAGCATCCACCTTTACGTTCTCTGGAGTTAAGGTACCAGAGCAAATCCCTCAGCAAAGGTGTTCAAAGAGAGACACACAGGCCTGAGCACTTTCTTCATGACAGATGTCACAAGAGATAACTGGAGGAGCTGAAGATGTTTAGTTTAGAAAACAGGTGATGGGGGACAGGTGGTGATGGCTCTTAGCGTTGCCTTGTTCAGCGAGACCCTGAGGGCACGATGAGACCGCGGGGAAGAAATGAAAGGGCAGCATCCCCCGGACGCGTATCAGAGAAACTCGCTAAGACCGAAAGCGAGTCCGCGCGAGATGGGGGTGGGAGCGCCCGCGGGGGTCGTCTCCTGCGCAGCCGCAGCGGCGGCGCCAATCACGGGGCGCATCCCGTCCTCTCGCGACGGTACAGTTGTACGGTCGTGACGTCGGCAGTTGCCGTGGAGAGACCCGCTCGGTCCCGACCGTGAGCTGGCGTTAGGAGCCGCAGGGTCACAGCGTGGCTTTGAAGCCGCCTCTGCCACCACCATGAGCGGCCGAAGTCGGGGTCGAAAGTCCTCCCGCGCGAAAAACCGGGGCAAAGGCCGCGCCAAAGCCCGAGTCCGCCCTGCTCCGGACGACGCCCCGCGCGACCCGGACCCTTCACAGTACCAGAGTCTCGGGGAAGACACCCAGGCGGCACAGGTGCAGGCTGGCGCGGGGTGGGGTGGCCTGGAAACCGCTGCGTCCGCGCAGCTCCTCCGGCTGGGGGAGGAGGCCGCCTGCCGGCTCCCCCTGGACTGTGGCCTCGCGCTGCGGGCCCGAGCTGCGGGGGACCGCGGGCAGGCCGCGGCCAGGCCCGGCCCGGGAAAGGCCGCATCTCTCTCGGAGCGCCTGGCCGCAGACACTGTCTTCGTGGGAACAGCGGGAACCGTGGGAAGGCCGAAAAATGCCCCCCGCGTTGGAAACCGGCGTGGCCCTGCCGGGAAGAAGGCCCCAGAAACCTGTAGCACCGCGGGGAGGGGGCCTCAGGTCATAGCTGGTGGCAGGCAGAAGAAAGGGTCGGCAGGGGAGAATACCTCGGTCTCAGCTGGGGAGGAAAAGAAGGAAGAGAGGGATGCAGGGTCGGGGCCCCCAGCGACGGAAGGCAGCATGGATACGCTGGAGAACGTGCAGCTGAAGCTGGAGAACATGAACGCCCAGGCGGACAGGGCCTACCTTCGGCTCTCCAGGAAGTTTGGGCAGTTGCGACTGCAGCACTTGGAGCGCAGGAACCACCTCATCCAAAATATCCCGGGCTTCTGGGGGCAAGCATTTCAGAACCACCCCCAGCTAGCATCGTTTCTGAACAGCCAAGAGAAAGAGGTACTGAGCTACTTAAACAGCTTGGAAGTGGAAGAGCTCGGCCTTGCCAGATTGGGCTACAAAATCAAGTTCTACTTCGATCGCAACCCATATTTCCAAAATAAGGTGCTCATCAAGGAATATGGCTGTGGTCCTTCTGGCCAGGTGGTGTCTCGTTCTACTCCAATCCAGTGGCTCCCAGGGCATGATCTCCAGTCCGTAAGCCAGGGAAACCCAGAAAACAACCGTAGCTTCTTTGGTTGGTTTTCAAACCACAGCTCCATTGAGTCTGACAAGATTGTGGAGATAATCAACGAAGAATTGTGGCCCAATCCCCTGCAGTTCTACCTTTTGAGTGAAGGGGCTCGTGTAGAGAAAGGAAAGGAAAAAGAAGGCAGGCAAGGTCCAGGAAAGCAGCCAGTGGAGACTACTCAGCCTGGGGTGAGCCAGTCCAACTGATCCTGCACAAGTCTCCCTGCTACCTCCTGCTGGGCTGTTCCTGGTTGACTACATATTTGGCGCTCTGCCTTCTCTTCATGTTGGTCTCTGTGTACTATAGACCCTTTGGACTTTAGTTACAAGAATATGGCGTTTATGATCATGTTCTTTTGCCTCCCATAGCCTCTTGCTTTTCTACGTTAGTGTCACATGTTATGTGATCGCACCTGGACTGTTCATATGTTAAGCACACGTACTTTAGATGTGTGCTGCCTTTTATCTACATTGCCTGGACCTTGTTCTTGGCTCTGGCCTTTCCTACTTGTCTTTAACATGGACACTCATGAGTCATCCTCCAGGACCACCAGTGCATCCTCAAGCTCTGCTCCTTCAGGGCCGGTGACTTGCTGGGCTTCGTGTTCATGCTGGCCGTGCATGTCATCTATGCAAGCGTTTCCATTGCCACTGCAGAATGAAGCCAGTGCACATGGTATTAGTCATCACCTAGAACTTACTGTTCTGTGGGTCTGGGGTCACCAGCTAAGATGTCACCTACTTTATTTCTGGCTTTGGCCTGTGGTCCGTGAGACCCATCCTGCTTGATGTTCTGCAGAATGGCACTTAACTGCTGGGCATGCATGAAGTTAAGGGCAAGAAGCACTATGCCATGTATTCTGTACCATCATGTGTCTCTTCTTGCTTCTGGGCCCTTCTACTGGTGAACTTTAATCTCATCAGGATCTTCCCATGCCGTGTCACTATCAAGCCATTAAGTTTTGTCTGGGTTGCTGTCAGCCCCAGTTGGCTTCCTGGTCAACAAGGACCTCAAGAACTGCCTGTGGACTGAGGCCCCCTACCAGTGCATGAGACACACACCTACCCTCCCCAGCTTTCCAGGAACCCTACTGGCTGCCAGACTGATGGGCGGGCTGGTATGTGTGGACATGTGTTCACCGTCATTATGCTGTGGCTGCAGGTGAGGGTGAGGACTGGGCCTATATAGAATCCAGATACCGCTGTCAACTTCCCTTATTCCCTTCTAAGACATGAGCAGAGTGCTATAGTAGGGGTTCTGGGGAAGAGGTATTTCTGATTTGTGGGCCTCTGCTTGCTTGACTTCAGGTCACTCACACTTCTTACTTCACTTGCCTGCCTTCCTCCATCCCTCATTTCCTCCCTCATTATTCTTTCCTCCCTCCCTTTCTTGGTAGCCTGCTTTCCTCTCCTTGCACCTTCCCCTTACTTTTTTCCTTATTCCTTTTTATTTTGTTTAAATAGTACCACAGAGAAAACAACTGAAAAACCACATTTTTCTACATACAGCTAGGGAGATATCTGAGAACTTGGCACTGCGCACATATACTAGATTGAAAGAGAGTTGAGGAAACCAGAAGGCCAAGTGGATCTGCTGGCAGACCCTGAACCTGTCTCCTGGGCTTGCTCTACAGTTCTGAAGTTGAAAAACTGTTTCATGCCTAGCGTCTGCCCGAGTGATAAACCCCAAGGCAGCCATATCATAGACTAGTGTTTACTCTTGTTTTGACTTTGTTTTAATACTCCCTAAGACTCAAGTGCCTCCTGCTGTTTCCTCCTTTGTGGTAGCCTCTGGCCATCTGGACCTCAACCCCCAGCTTTCCCACTTTCAGCAGGCCTTTGCTCTCTTTGCTTCTACCTCAAATAGCCCCGGGAGTGGGTTTTAGTCTCCATTATGGAGTATCTCAAGCTTCTCCTGGGGGATGGGGATGGGGATGGGCAGAATCTGTTTTGGATCTCCAGATTATTT